ACCCTCAATCCCTAAATCCCTAAACCCTAAAACCCCAAATCCCAACCCTAAAAAACAACAAAGAACCCCTACAACCCCAGACCCCCTACCAGGAGCCCCAGGCCCGAAATCCTAAATCCCAACCCTAACACGACAAAAAACCACCTACACCGCTAGATGCCTCTGAACCCTAATCCCTAAGTCCTAAATCCCTAAATCCCCAAATCCCCCAAAATTCTAAACCCTAAATCCCAAGCCGAAAACAACCCTATAGCGCAAGATCCCTAAACCCTAAACCCTAAACCCTAAACCCTAAACTTTGGATCCGCGTCGCGGCGGCCCCAGGATAGGCCCCGCCAGCCTCATCGGATGCGCGGAGGCCGGTTTGGGGTTTAGGGTTTAGGGTTCAGGGTTCAGGGTTCAGGGTTTAGGGTTTAGGGTTTAGGGTTTAGGGTTTAGGGTTTAGGGTGAGCAGCTGAGATGTTTGGAGGTTGCAGGGGTTTAGGGTGGTAGGGTTCGGGTTAGGGTGTTTAGGCGGTTGTAGGGTCCAGGGGTTTATAAGGTTTAGGGTTGCAGGGCTTGCATGGTTTGCAGGGCTTTGTAGGGTTTTCAGGGGTGTTTAGGGTTGAAGGTTGTAGTGGTTCAGGGTGGTTTGAGGTTCTGAAGTGTAGGGCTTTCAGGGTTTAGGTATCTCCTCCCTCCCCCCCCCCCCCCCAAATTTTCGGGAGGTGTCTTGGATTCAAGGGGCATAACCTGGGCCCTTTGGATTTGGGGGTTTGGCGGTCCTAAGCCGTCGACCATTACAGAATCTCCGAAAGCCTGCAACGACTCGCACCCCCCGAAGACCTTCAGCTCCCGCTTGCTGCAGCCGTTTAGGGTTTAGGGCTTGGGGGTTTGGGGTTTAGGGTGTCGGGTTTGGGGTTTAGGGCCCGCCCCTCCCTGGCCCTGTGCACGTCTACCTCAAGGTGAAAAGTATTGCTTCCTGTGTGTGTGTGTTTTTTGACTTGCGCTTTCGAGAGCAAGACATTGTATGTCCAACTCAGTCAGTGTCGAACTCTAAAGTCTAGTCACCTCGCGGTAATGCCGGCAAGACGCTGCAAGATGTAGGACGGATCCCGATCCCGCGCGCGCCCGGGTTTGGGGTTTAGGGTTTAGGGTTTGTAGGGCTTGTAGGGCTTCAGAGATTCAAGCTTTGCGTCCGTGAGGATCAGGGTTGAGAGGGCTTTGGTTGAGGGCTTCATCAAAAGTGTCAGATCATAAGGTGCAGAGAAAGGCTTGAGGTATAGTGTTTAAGTCAGGTCGCCGTCTGTGTTCGGCCTTCTCCAAAGCGCGGGTTTAGGGTTTAGGGTTTAGGCTATAGGGTTTAGGGTTTGGGGTTTAGGGCTTAGGGCTTAGGGCTTAGGGACCGTTTGGTTACAAGCCCGTGCCCAAGGAGACCGTCGCCTATGCCCAACAGCCGCTGCAGGCGATGCAGGAAATGCTCAAGGCGAGCAGAAAGAAGATGTTCCTTCAGCGCGCCACTGACGCCAAGAATACGGCCAAGCGAGCGGCACTCCCATGCTGGGACTGTAGAGCGCTCCCATTCAGGCCTTCCGGGAAGCACGAGGTTAGTCGGCACCTAAGGCCAGCTACCAGCAGGCTCAAGCTTGAGCCTGTGCTGCTAAGCTGGCTGCGAGTCTAGGAAGGACGCCCGAAGCCCTAAGCCCTAAACCATTACAAACCTTAAACCCTAAATCCTAAACGGAACCCGAAGCCCCAACTCTAAAACCCCCCAAAGCCCCCAAATACCATATACGGCCAGCATGAGCCGCCCCCGAAGGAGTGCACCATCACTTCCGCGTGCTGCAGCGCACTGAACACAGCGGAGGCCAGAGTGATTTTGGATCGGCTGCTCTTCATGCCTCAGGGTGTAAGGTTCAGAGTTTAGGGTTTAGGGTTTAGGGTTTAGGGTTTAGGGTTTAGGGTTTAGGGTTTAGGGTTTAGGGTGCAAGGTCTAGAGTTTAGGGTTCTGAAGAGGGATCCCTGAATACAACAAACCCTGAACCCTTCTTTGATCCCTTGAGCCCTCCTGTTCTTTCTCCTAAACCCTAGACCCTAAACCCTAAACCCTTAACCCTAAACCCTAAACCCTAAACCCTAAACCCTAAACCCTAAACATCTCGGGGGGCTCTGGGTAAGCCCGCCGCTTTTGTCGGATTTCAGGGCTTTGGGACTCGAGGATTTTCGGGATGATTAGGGCTCAAACAACGGGCATATTTTCAGGTGCACCGTGGTCACTCTTAGGCAGAAAGTCCTGTAAGTGTAAGCCCTCAAGAAATATAAACCCTAAACCCTAAACCTCTTATCCATAAACTCCTAAACCCTAAACCCTAAACCCTACACTCTAGCAACCAACCGAAGGACCTCCGGCGCGAATGCATTCTAAGCATTTGGCATGCTTCGGGTGCTGAAGGTGTTTAGGGTTTAGGGTTTAGGGTTTAGGGTTTAGGGTTTAGGGTTTAGGGCCCCAAACCCTTGCTCCGAAACCCCAAGCCTCAAGTCCCTTCGTTGTTACGAAACTCCAAACCCTGAAGCCCCTGAACTCGCCGCCGCGTCCCTAAACCCTAAACCCTAAACCCTAAACCCTAAACCCTAAACCCTAAACCCTAAACCCTAAACCCTAAACCCTAAACCCTAAACCCTAAACCCTATAAACCCTAAGCCCCTCAATTCTAAGCCCCTTTAGAGCTCCCAGGGCCTCGAAGCGCTAAATGCCCCCAAAAAACCTGCCGCAACCCCGAGCCACACGCTGACAACCCTACAGAGCTGTTCGGATGAGTTTAGGGTTGAGGGTTTAGGGTTTAGGGTTTAGGGTTTAGGGTTTAGAGTTGAGGGTTTAGGGTTTAGGGTTGAGGGTTTACCTACAAATTGCTGAAGATGCCCCCCAAAATATACAAGTTAGTAATGCCTATATTGCCCCTTATACATCGTGGTAAGGGGTTTCGAGGTTGAGGGGGGGGGGGGGGGGGGGGGGGCTTCGGGTCTGAGATTTCGTATTTTGTGGTTTTTAGGGTTAACCCTAAACCCTAAACCCTAGACCCTAAACCCAAAGGTTCAGCGTGACTTTGGGGGTGCAAAAGGATCTTCACCGGTGGCCTGTGCCCCCCTCGCCCCTGCTGAAGCCGCTTAGAGATCCGAAGCCCGAAACCACAAAACCTGGGACCCCGAGTAGGCCCTAATTCGCTGTTTGTTTGCTGTAGGTTCCCTTACCCTAAGGCTCCAAATAGCCCAAAGCAGGTATCATTTACAGACTTTAGACCCCCATGTAGGTATTAGTTATATGCTTGGAGCCTTAGGGTTAGAAGGCCAGATTATCAAGAAAGGTACCGTTTATAGGTTACTTTTCGGTCTAGAACTGCACCTGTAAAGGAAAAGTGCCCCCGTGGTTAGAAGTCGGAAAGCGCCCGTCCAATCGGGTTGCAACGCTCAGTTGTTTTTAGGGGTTTAGGGTTTAGGGTTTAGGGTTTAGGGTTTAGGGTTTACGCTTCACCTCCTAAACGGCTCCTAGCACTAGTACTGTTAGCAACCCTAAGCCGCGCAGCCCTAACCCATAAACAATGTTCTGGAATCCTTGTCTCGTTCTCTTGGCCCGAAACCCCAAACCCAAAACCCGAAACCCCAAACCCTAAACCCTAAACCCCAAACCCTAAACCCCAAACCCTAAACCCTAAACCCTCGCAAAAGGAGCGCCCTTGTGCTTCCCTCAGGCAGCGGAGTGCCTGGCAGCTTTGGCTGCGAGTTGGGTGGAGGAGGTCAGCACGAAGCCGCAGGTGCCCCCTCTCGTACCCTGCAGGGGCAGGGTTTAGGGTTTAGGGTTTAGGGTTTAGGGTTTAGGGTTTAGGGTTTAGGGTTTAGGGTTTAGGGTTTAGGGTTTAGGGTTTAGGGTTTAGGGTTAGGGTTGTGGGTTTTGGGTTTGGGGTCTAGGGCTCAGGGTTTAGGGTTGAGGCTTTTGGTTTTAGGGGTTTCGGGATGTTTAGGGTTTTAGGGTTTAGGGTTTTGGTGGTTGTCCTTTGTTTGTGGACGTGCGAAATCTCTCTTCTCAGTGGCCGGGCTTGAGGACTTGCGTGCTCCGTGCTCCTAAATCCAAGAACCCTGAGCATCAAAACCTTACCTTAACCCCTAAACCACCCTAGACCCTAAACCTTACATACCCTAGGCTCTAAACCTTTCAGACCCTAGGCCCTGAACCCTAATCCATCCTAAGCCTAAAGCGGCCCTACTGTCTGGACCCCAAACCCCGAGCGTTCGCGCGGGGACCCATGGAGCAGCCACAGCTGTTGACACACTTGGAGCCCGACTTACTGCGCGGAGTGCCTCTCCATGAATGCTACGTGAGCCGACATGGCATTGTTTTCGTTGTTTTCATCATATTCTTCTTCACACATATATGTAATGTATATATATATATATACAACTACATCATTAGTTTTTTGTTTTTCTTTTTTTTTCTTGGGGTGGGGGGGGGGGGCGGCGGGAGCTGGGGTTGGTCTAGGGTTTGCGGCTGCTACGTCGCTATTTGGGCCGACTTGGCAATAATGTTTTGGCGTTGTTGATTCAGGGGGTCCTGAAGGGAGGGTGGTTCATGGGGTTAGGCGGGTTAGGTACCTAGGGAACCTATGGGAGTAGTGGGGCGTATTAGGGAACCTTGGGTTACACACCCGCTTCAACCCCCCCCCCCCCTCCCATAAGAACCCTTTAAGCGTCTGGTACTGCACCAACACCCCGAGGAGTTCACCATACAGTAAAAAAGGTTTCACAAGCGACCAACCTTTCGTGGTACTATTCCCAGAGGGTCCATTAATTGGAACTAGGTACCCCAAAAACCATGCTAAATAGGATTTGGGGCACCTACTTCCATAATGGTTCTACAGCTGGCCCCTCTGGGAGATACAGCCTTGATTGAGAAGTGTTGTTTCGCGCCAAAAAAATCAGCTGCAGGTTTAAGCGGATGGGGCAAGCACTGGCAGCCGCCCGACCCCGGCATGTTCAAAGTAGAGGCCGGGAACCCTAAACCCTAAACCCTAAACCCTAATTAAACCCTAAACCCTAAACCCTAAACCCTGAACCCTAAACCCTAAACCCTGAACCCTGAACCCTAAACCCTAAACCCTAAACCCTAAGCCCTAACCCTAAACCCTAAACCCCAGGCCGAGAACTACAAGCTGAGCCGGCCGGCGGAGGTCTTAGCCGACTTCCTGAGCCACGACTGGGGTAGCTCTCGGTGGATGAAGTTCCTCACCATGCTCATCATCTACAACTCGAAGCTAGGTAGGGTTTAGGGTTTAGGGTTTAGGGTTTAGGGTTTAAGGTTTAAGGTTTAGGGTTTAGGGTTAGGGGTTCAGGGTCTTTTTAGGGTTTAGGGTTTGGGGTAGGCCCTTGGGACATTGTACCATTTTCTCATTTCAAAGAGGCTTTTTAAGGGCCACCCTAGGAAAGCCGCGCTGATTGCAACATTCCTGACTTCCCTCGCCCTCGGCGTCGCCCGCGCCGCCGGGGCCCTGCCGGATCTGACACTTCCCCCTGTGGCTCGGACCCGGAGTAGGTCCTTACTTCCTTTGTTTAGGGTTGGGGTTCCTTTTATATAATCCCCTTAAAGCCAAAAAAGGGTACCCTTCGTATTCTGAACCCTAAACCCTAAACCCTAAACCCTAAACCCTAAACCCTTTTTATTCCTAGGCTACTCCTGGGTCTAGGTGGCCATCGGCTATGGCGTTCACCTCCTCTTCTTGTGCTTCTGGCAAAGATTCCGCCAGATGCTGTGCACTTGCAGGCCTTAGCCAGGGATTCTTAGTACCCCCGATGATAATTCTTCTTAAAGACTGTTCGTATGAAGGGGAACATCCCAATGTGTAGAGTTTGGAGCTTGGACTATAGTCATAGTATTCCTTATGAGAATCCACATGGAGGACTGCTAGTATAAGGGGGAAGATCCCAAGCTAAACCCTAAACCCTAAACCCTAAACCCTAAACCGCAAACCCCGAACCCTAAACCCTAAAGCAGATGCCGTGTACTTGCAGGCTCGTCTTCTTCGACAAGCTGTGCATCGCCCAAAGCCCTGAGCTTGCGGAGTTGAAGCTAGGAGTGCCCAGTAGTACCCTTATTCCCTTTTTTTGGGGTTTAGGGTTTAGGGTTTAGGGTTTAGGGTTTAGGGTTTAGGGTTTAGGGTTCAAGGTTTAGGGTTCAGGGTTCAGGGTTTAGGGTTGAGGGTTGAGGGTTTGGGTTACTGGGCAACCTAGGAAGGCCAAAGGCATTCTGGGCCTTGCCGCTTTCCTCAACCACTCCAAGCGCCTTGTGGCACCTTGCTTGTGCAGTGGGATGTTCCCCCGGTTTAGGGTTTAGGGTTTAGGGTTTAGGGTTTAGGGTTTAGGGTTTAGGGGTTAGGGGTTAGGGGTCAGGGGTCAGGGTTTAGGGTTTAGGGTTTAGGGTTTAGGGATGTACCCCCTATCTTAATCCCTATTCAGGACGTGCCTCCAGAAGTTGCATACCATATGCACTTAAGCTAGAGCAGACGGCGTAGACTCCGACTGGTGTAAGACCACAACGAAGGCACCTCGTAACTCACTTTGTGACGTTTTTTTCTTTGCAAACTGTGCACGGGAGCAAGGTATTATGGTCGCCGGCTTACTTCAGCAGATTATGGTGCTCGTATGAAGTGGCCACGTGGCTGACCGGCAGCAATGAGCAGAAACCAATTGTGGTCATGCCAGTACATGCGGGGCCGGTTTTACTCGTGGAATATGTGGCGTGGGCTGCGTGCTCGACTTCGTTTGCGTGTCTTGTGTCTGGCATGTTTAGCTCCATACAGGGCGCTGGTGCAATCCCGGTCGTGGCCTTGCTGGTTGCCGTGACAAATTCCTGGGGAGTACCCCTCTTGACCATGGAGATCAGCTTAGCCCGACACTTGCTGGATGTTGAACGTCAGCTGCGAACATACCGGATACTTAGGGCTACGTGGAAGCAATTTTTAATTCTTGGGCGTCAAAATTCCTCAGAAACCGCCAAAATTCTAATTTTTGCCAGGGTTCCAAGTTCAGTATAGGATACAGGAGACTCGCTGCTTCTGTTGCTCAAACGATCATCGCCATCCCGACACTGGTGCACCGATTCCATGTGACTTGCTGTTGGTAAGTAGGGAATCAGGGAATGAGGTGCCTATATGACCTATATAATCCCTTAAAGTTAATACACATATATATATATGTGTAGGGGTAAGTAGGGAATGAGGGAATGAGGTACCCTATAATCCTCCTCGAAGGGTATGTATAGGTGGGATATTGGGTAATTCATTGGCTCATTGCCTACTAACCAACAGCAAGGTGATCGGAAGTTGGTGTACATCAAGCTGAAGGAGTGGTACAGTCGTCCCGGAGACGTTGGTGAGGAGTATTTGGATCACTTCAACAACCTGGTCCAAACGAGGCTTGCAAGCACGATCCTCGGCAAGATGTCTAACTTCATTCCGCGCACCTACACATTCTACATGCTGGCCGCCGCCAACCTGCCCTGGCTCTCCGACTCCTTATCGAGGGCCATTTGGCAGGTTGTGCCAGCGCCAGTGGAGAATCCCGTCATGGCGTTTGCACATATTCTTCTGGAAACATGGCAGCATTGTTCGCCTTACTTCTTGCTGAGCCGCTTAAACGTTTCTTCTTCAAGACAGCCGTGAGTCACGAGAGATTAGGCTTTCAACAAGCTCGCGGAAGCGACGTCAGTCAGAACACTATTTCTTATACTCTAAGCCCCAAACCCTAAACCTTAAACCCCAATCCCTCAACCCCAAACCCGAAATCCCAAAACCCTAAACCCTAAACCCTAAACCCTAAACGATCCTCCAAAAAGCCCCCCCCCCCCCCCCCCCCGCTTTGACTCGCAGACCAGGAATGGATGATGATGAGCATGGTGGTCCTCTGGGGACCACATTAACCCCAAAAGGGCTTTGTTGGGGTTTAGGGGTTTTGGGGTTTTGGGGTTTAGGGGTTTTGGGGTTTTGGGGGTTTTGGGGGTTTTGGGGTTGAGGGGTTTAGGGGTTTTTGTGGGGTGTAGGGGTTTTGCGCGGTTTTGGGGTTTTGGGGTTTAGGGTTCATATACAATCATAGGAATGATAGTGGTGCAGGGTAATATGACTCTAATTTTATGGCTTCGTTTGGCCTCCCTTAAACCCCTAAACCCCTAAACCCCTAAACCCCTAACCCCTAAACCCCTACACCCCTAAACCCCTAAACCCCTAAACCCTAAACCCCTAAACCCTAAACCCCTAAACCCCTAAACCCTAAACCCCTAAACCCCTAAACCCCTGAACCCCGAACCCTAAACCCCAAACCCTAAACCCTAAACCCTAAACCCCAAACCCTAAACCCTAAACCCTAAACCCCTAAACCCCTAAACCCTAAACCCCGAACCCTAAACCCTAAACCCTAAACCCTAAACCCTAAACCCTAAACCCTAAACCCCCCAAGGTCTTCCTCGGTAGCAGGACCTCCCGCTCGCTGACGCTATTTGTCGGCGTGCGTGGCTCGGGACGCGAGGAAACCAGGATGGGCTCTTAGGGCCTCATAGTCCCCATTCAGGGTTTAGGGTTTAGGGTTTAGGGCCTCAGAATCCCCTTAATCAACCCCATAAAGCTATGAAGGGCCTTTTTGAGGGGGTTGTGGGGTCTACTGGCCTTCTAGTGCCCATCATCAACCCAATTTCAAGGGCCTCTTGAAGGGGTTATAGGGTCTTCAAGCCCATCCTGGTAGAGACTTTTTTGTTTCATTTCTTCTTTGGGTTTGTGAACCCCCTAAACCCTAAACCCTAAACCCTAAACCCTAAACCCTAAACCCCTGAACAGCCCCTAAGCTCGAAGCACTCCCCGCACCTCTGGTGTTCCTGCATCGCACAAGATCTCCGTTTTGAGGTTTGGCCCGCTCCATGCCCGTCATGGCTGCAGGATTTCTTGTCTTTCAGATCGTCGGGCTACTTGCTTGGCAAATAGCTGAACTTTAAACTTTTTTTGCTTTTCCATACTTAGGTGGGAATCATAAAGTTCAACCCTAAACCCTAAACCCTAAACCCTAAACCCTAAACCCTAAACCCTAAACCCTAAACCCTAAACCCTAACTTGGTTATTGGAGAAGCAAGGTTACCGGCGGTCATCCCCCTGGGAAGTTTTTGGCTCCTTGGGTTCAACAAGTCTGGGTTCAGGGTTTAGGGTTTAGGGTTTAGGGTTTAGGGTTTAGGGTTTAGGGTTTAGGGTTTAGGGTTTAAGTATCAAGGCATATTTTCTTCTTTCGTTAGGTGTGGCGTGCCCTCTGAAGTAACAGCCAAACAGCCAGAAGACCCCAACCCTGGGATTCAATTGAACCCTAAACCCTAAACCCTAAACCCTAACCCCTAACCCTAAACCCTAAACCCTAAACCCTAAACCCTAAACCCTAAGGGCGCTTCGGATCGCAGGTTCCTGCGAGTAGAGGATTCCTCGGGCATTCTTCTGACCATACCTTTCGGCACCTTAGTGGTGAGTGAGCACACTTTACACTTCTTTGGTATACTATAATCCCCTATAATCCCCTATAATCCCCTATAATCCCCTATAATCCCCTATCGAACTGAAAGTGTGCACTGTTAGGGGGGGCTTGTGAACTCAGCAACTCAGGCATCGTGTGTTTGGCGCTCCTTGGCCTGAACTTGCGCAGATGCTCGGATGCCCTGTAGTACCCTTATCCCCTTTTTGGGGGGGGGGGTTTAGGTCCCCTTCTAAACCCCTTTAAGCAAAAAAGGGCACCCCTTTTAAGCCTAGGTTGCTGGGCAGCCTAGGATGCCAGGGGAAACGATCCCAGGAGCAACTCGCAGCGGCCACATGGTCGACCGATACTCAGAAAGAGTTAGATCGGAGCTGTGATCCCAGTGCCTCTTGTCAACAAGCTGCTTAGGAATTCTTGGGAGCATTTTTTTGGGGTACTCGAATTCCTAAGAAACAGCTGAAATGATAATTAGTTGTTTTCCTAAGAAACAACCAAAATGGTAGTTTTTGCTAGGGTTCCAAGTTCAGTATAGGTTGCTGTGATCGATTGCAGCAGTCCCACATCTTCCAGGTTTTCCGCGTAATGCGTGCACCCTGCCCCCCGGGGCCAGACTTTTGACCCCTTGAAACTTTAAACAATATCCCCTGAATCGTTTTGTTTTTTCAAGGGGCTCAGTCGCTATTATCAGTTCCTCCGGAAGAATCTTCTGTGAGGTTTTGACATCCGTTGGGGAAGTTTCTTGTTCCTACTGCAAAGAAGCAGTGCAGAATCAAGAGCTCAGCCGCCTACCCAAAGTGCGATCTGCTCCAAAACCCCAAACCCTGAACCCTAACCCTAAACACCAAACCCTACTCCCCAAACCATGCCTCCAGAATCGGTTTGCAATCCCAGAGGCCTCCCCAGTTCAGGGTCTACAGCTCTTGAAGCATTGCGGGAGCCTCATGAAGCCTGCAATCCCAAGCTGTCCGCTAGGGTTCAGGGTTCAGGGTTCAGGGTCTAGGGTTTAGGGTTTAGGGTTTAGGGTTTAGGGTTTTCGCTTAACAAGTTCCACAGCACCGAAGCCCAAGCTTCGATGTTGCTAAAGCCTGGTAACCCGACCATTACAAATTCTGAAAAATCGGGTTATTCTGCAGAAAGTAGTTTGGTAGCCCAGTACTACCTTTTGCCCCTTTTCTCGGCCCTGATACAAAATTATCCAACCCAAAAAGCGGGCACTTAGTACGAGATGGTTTCTGGGCTACCTTGGCCCTGCACGCCCCATTCTGTTGCAGATCGATTCCCTACAGAAGGGGTTCGCCTTCGCTACCAAGGTAATGCATCATGCTTATAAACTCCCTACTGAGAACCCTGAACCCTAAACCCTAAACCCAATTTTTAGAAGTCCTGCACTTCCCCCCCAATCCCACACCCTAAGGCCTTAAATCTAAGCCCTAGAAAACGTGATGGCATTTACCTGGGCCCCCAATGTGGTCCCTTACCTTATTCTAAAGGGCTCCGAAGTATTGGACCTTGAGTTTTATATGGCATAGAACAGGTAGAGAAGGTTCCCAGAGAAAGGGGCCCACACCTTGTGTAGCTACCTTAGACCAACTCCGACAGCCCCAACATCTAAAGCTCATACACCTCTGAAAACCAGCCGCGTGAGGCCGAGCTGATCTCAGATATACATATGGGGAGGGGAACTACCTTATGGTCCCTTTTGGGATGCCCTGTGTAGTGGTTAAGGGTGACAAGGAGGGACCCCTAGAAGGGGCCTTTCATCTTCTTCCCCTATATAAGCTCTATATATACGCCCCTACAGGGGCTCCAAAGCACGAAGTTTTGAAGCACTGAAGAACTCAGTTTTTTGTCTCAGGGGGCTTCGGCCAGAGCGCACAACCATATTGAACACCGCTCTTCACCTTCCGGCCTAAACCCTTTCTCACCCCACTAGGCGTATGTACACAAGAATCGCTGACAAAACCCTGAAACCTAAACCGCAAACCCTAAACCCTAGGCGCTAGACCCTAAACCCTAAACCCTAAACCCTAAACCCTAAACCCTAAACCCTAAAACCCTAAACCCTAAACCCCCCCTCCCCCCTCAAGAGGCGGAGCCGATCTCGGACTTGCCCGCAGACCTGGGCGCCACTTGCTGTTGAAACCCTAAACCCTGAACCCTAAACCCTAAACCCTAAACCCTAAACCCTAAACCCTTTTCCCTAAACCCTAAACCTTTTTACTCCTTTTTTGGGTATATATATAGGGTAGCCAACAGTAAGGCCAGTCTTGGCGAGTCCCTCGAGGAGCTGCGGCTGCGTCGAGAGCGCTTGCCGCTGGGCTTTTGGGTTCAGGGTTGAGGGTTTAGGGTTTGGGGTTTAAGGTTTAGGGTTTCGGGTTTGGGGTTTGGGGATTGGGGTTTAGGTGTAGGGTTTCGGGTTTTGGATTAGGGTTCATGATTTCGGGTTTGTATGGTTTAGGGCTTACCTATGAAGGCTCTCATGCAGCGCCTCCTTTTTGGGCTAGTTATCGGGGACTCTAGTTTTCCACCCGAAGAAGGTACTTCAGAGGAGCCTTTAGGTATGGGATCTAGAGCTTGGGATTTCGGCGGCTTTACGGGGGGAGTTTAGGGCTTTGTAGGGGTTGGGAGTTTGGGGTTCATGGCTTGAGATGTATTTCGTTTTGTTTTTCAGGGTTTGGGGACTTTCAGCACGAAATTCACCAGCGACTCTTGGCTGCCGAGCGGGCTTGCCCTTGTCTGGGGCATGAACTGGATGTTATCCAGCTGCAGGCACTGCCAGCATCTGCCAGCTAATTGCAGCTCAACCCTAAACCCTACATTACTAAACCCTCCGGACGACATGGCCTGTGGCGACCCCAATCGGATTCCCAGACCCTAAACCCTGAAACCTATATTCTGAGTCCCTAACCCTAAACCTATTTAGGGCTTCGAGTTTAGGGTTTGGGGTGTAGAGTTTGAGGTTTAGGACTTTAGGCTTTAGGCTGTAGGGTTTAGGGTTTAGGGTTTAGGGTTTAGGGTTTAGGGTTTAGGAGCCCTACACCCTACACCTCTCGGTCCCCGAAAACGAACACCAAGCCCAGGTATGCGGGCAGACGGTGCCACGGCCATGAGAACGCGGGGGCGACCTGCTACCTTCAGGTCCGCCGCGTTGTCTTGGGTTAAGGTTTAGGGTTCAGGGTTCAGGGTTTAGGGTTCAGGGTTCAGGGTTTAGGGTTTAGGGTTTAGGGTTTAAAGGCTCAAGGCGCAGGGCCGCTAAGGGGTGTAAGTGCTGTTTAAAGATGAGGCATCACAACGATCACAACGCCCTAAATCGCCTTTGCCTTAAGTTTCGAGGCCCGAAGCCCTCAGCCTAGACCCTAAACCCTAAACCCTAAACCCTAAACCCTAAACCCTAAACCCCCTAAACAACCCCCCAGCTCTGAGACCCCGTGAGTTTAGGGCTTAGGATTGCTGCAGGCCTCCCTGACGATTCTGGCCCTACACGAAGAGCTACTTCAAGCTGCTCCGCCCGAAGACAAAGGGCTCCACCAGGACTCGCCCCTGGTTCCTTCTCCTAAACCCTAAACTCTAAACCCTAAACCCTAAACTCATAAGGCCTTAAGCCCCGAGGGTTCTGAGGGTTTAGGGTTAACCCTAAACCCTAAACCCGAGGTTACTTGTACTTTTCGTGAGGGGTTTAGGCGTTCGGGTCTATCGGGCTTTTCAAGGTTTTTAGGGCTTTAGGCGTAAGGGTTGGGAGGGTTGGGTCAGTGGCACAACATGAGTGCTGAGGCTTTGGAGTTGCTCCTGGCGGCTTCGGGACAGTTTGGGGGGGTGAGGGGGGAGAGGTTAGGGGTGTCGGCTCCCTAAACCCTAAACCCTAAACCCTAAACCCTAAACCCTAAACCCTAAACCCTAAACCCTAAACCCTAAACCCTAAACCCTAAACCCTAAACCCTAAACCATACTAAACCCTAAACCCTAAACCTCCAAACTAGCAGCACGCCATCCCCGAATGGCAGGGACACATCTGCAAGAGTGGTGGTTGGGACAGGCTCAGGTCGTAGAAGGCCCTTGGCCCACAAAGCCCAAGAAACTAAGACCCCAGAGCTCTCCCTAGCGCGTGCCAGCAGCGATCCTCACCATGAACCCTAAACCCTAAACCCTAAACCCTAAACCCTAAACCCTAAACCCTAAACCCCTAATCCCCTAATCCCCTAAGCCCTGAACCCTATAAACCTTCAGCAGGAGGCTCCTTGGAGCCGTTCTAAGGGTTGTATAGGGTAGCTGAGAGAGATGCAGCGTCCTGCAGCAGATGCTGGGAGTTTGGTTTAGGGTTTAGGGTTAGAGCATATGTGGCTTAGGTCTTAGGGTTTATCAAGGGGACTCTAATGGGGAGTAAGCAATTGGAACCATTTCGGGCCCATTTGGGCTGTCATTTTGGGTTCGGAATGCTGCGCGATCGGAGTTCAGTTCTGGAATCTAGAATCTGTCGGGCTATGGAGTGGAGCCAAGCTTCCGCAATGTGGACGCGGTAGTGAGCGTGACAGTTTCCAAAAACCGCCCAAAACACTCCGAAACCGCCCAAAACAATCCAAAAGCGCCCAAAACTGCCCAATTCGGCATTTTTGGCACACGCCCCAGGGGGGCAGGGTTTTTTCCCCACTCACTTGCGGCTTGTCGTTGCTGCTCTGTCAAGTTACAACCCTCCTCCTAGCAGCAGATCCCCGTCTCAGCCTTGTGTGATTTCAGGAGGCTTAAGCCCCCATTTCTTCCGCCCCCCACATGCGTTTCCTTAAGTTTTCGGGTATATAGGGTTTAGGGCTCAGAGTTTAGGGTTTAGGGTTACGGCGTGTTTTTCTTTCTGAGTCACCTTTCTGAGCCAGCGCCAGGAGATCTGCAACGTCATCCAGCTGTCCCGGGTGGAGCGGGTGCAGCAACAGCACCTGGCCACTGGGGCCTCGTAGTTTAGGGTTTAGGGTTTAGGGTTTAGGGTTTAGGGTTCAGGGTTTAGGGTTTAGGGTTTAGGGTTTAGGATTTTAGTTCTGTTGGGATGTTCCGCGTCATGCTAGCAGCCCTTTTAAAGGGATGATGATACCTTGGGTACTACAATCAAGGCATAGTCTATCAGCTGTTTGGGATCCAAATCATTGCCGCTAGCTAGCGTCCCCTGATGTTCCCTTTTTTGCAGGTTTAGGCAGCATGTGTTGCAATGACGCAAAAGCCATAGGGTAAAGCAAAAGGGTGTAATTGAGCGTGCCCCCGAGACAGTAGTGACGCAAAAAGGGGACAGTAAAAGCGCGGGCCCCCGAGACAGTAGTAACCAACGCATTATGTTGTCCATATAGGTATCATGCACATCTAAATTTCTCAAAACACACCTTCTCATGAACTAGCCCCCTATATAGAAAAACACTGTCTTGCTGTTGTGGTGTGGTCCGCTGCGGCTGATGATGTTGCTGCTCTTTGCGATGATTGTGATTGTGGCCCCGCTTCACAGATCTGCCTGACTGAGTAGCTGAATGCTGAATGAGTAGGTACACTTTACACTGTGGGATACTATAATCCCCTATAGAACTGAAAGTGTACACTTTGGGGGGGGGTTATGAACTCAGCAACTAAGTTGAGAGTTGCTCAACATCCCCTGAGGCCCCTGCAGCCTTAGATCCTCTGCGCTATGAACCCTGAACTCTAAGCACACATGCAATCCCTTCCAGCCCAGGACTCTTTGGAACGCCGTCTTGCCAAGCGCGATCTCGTCTACCATGGTCAGCAGGAGGACGTTTTTCTTGCCAGTCCCCAGACGTTCGAGCGCGAGCGAGCGAGCGAGCGCGAGAGAGAGAGAGAGAGAGAGAGCGACAGACAGAGAGACAGAGTGACAGAGAGACAGAAAGACGGAGAGACCGAGAGACCGAGAGACAGAGAGACAGAGAGACAACCCTAAACCCTAAAAACCCTCAACCCTACTTTTGCAGGATGCCGTCCGAATCTTGGAGGAGCTCCTGCCACTGCGCCTCCCTGAGACCCTTCTAGGACTTCATGTGGGGTTTAGGGTTTAGGGTTTAGGGTTTAGGGTTTAGGGTTTGGGGTTTGGGGTTTGGGGTTTAGGGTTTAGGGTTTAGGGTTCAGGGTTTAGGGTTTAGGGTTTAGCATAGGGGCCATGCGGGGTTTAGGGTTTAGCTTATGGGGGCACTTGGGGTTTGGGGTTTATATGCGGGGTGTTCAGACGTGCTGGCGACAAGGCACTAGGTTTAGGGTTTAGGGTTTAGGGTTTAGGGTTTAGGGTTTAGGGTTTAGGGTTTAGGGTTTAGGGTTTAGGGTTTAGGGGAAACCTCGGCCTGGGCGAGGTTTCAGGCCTCCGGCGGCCCTTCCCAACCCCCATCTCGACTCGAGATGGGGTGCACCCACACAACCCTCCTAAACCCTACGTCTACACCGTGAGTGGCTGCACAAACTTCACAGGGGTTTAGGGTTTAGGATTTAGGGCTTAGGGTTGAAGGTTTAGGGTTTAGAGTTTAGGCTTTAGGGTTTAGGGCTTAGGGCTTAGGATTTAGGGTTTAGGGTTTAGGGTTTAGGGTCTAGGGTTTAGGGTTTAGGGTTTGGTGGGGGGCGTGGTGTATTCTTCGGTTTTGGAGATGCCCAATTGTCTAGGCACAGGTCCGCCTTCAACTCGTTCAGCCCTAGTTGTCTTAGATATCCCCGCCCCCCGCAATACGAAGAGCTGGAGCCCCCTAAACCCTAAACCCTAAACCCTAAACCCTAAATCCTAAATCCTAAACCCTAAACCCTAAACCCTAAACCCTAAACCCTAAACCCTAAACCCTAAGCCCCAGGTGCGGGGGCCCCAAGTTGGACCTCCAGCCCTTTACCTGCGCGGAGCCTCGGGTGCTGGCAGCGCTGATGTTGGAGGCGCGTTTAGCGGCTTCGGAGGTTTCGGTTGGTTTAGGGTTTAGGGCTTAGGGCTTAGGGCTTAGGGCTTAGGGTTTAGGGTTTAGGGTTTAGGGTTTAGGGTTTAGGGTTTAGGGTTTAGGGGCTTTGGGTTGCTTAGGATTAAGGGGTTGAGGGGTTGAGCTGGTGGTGGGTCTGAGCCTCCAGGGTCTGCGTTAGAAGGGTCCAGGGCTGAGTTGGCTCTAAGGTTTTAGGGTTTAGGGTTTAGGGTTTAGGGTTTAGGGTTTAGGGTTTAGGGTTTAGGGTTTAGGGTTTAGGGTTTAGGGTTTAGGGTTTAGGGTTTAGGGGCTTTGGGTTTAGGGTTTAGGGGGGGGGGGGGGTACGCGTTGCTATCGGCTTCGGTCTAGAGCTGATAAGGATTTTCTATGTGGGATGGTAGGTCTCACGGCCTACAGGCGTTGCCGCTTCGGTGCGTAGGGTGGATGCAAGGGTTTGTAGAAGGTCTAGGGTTTCGCCGTGACTCTATGCACGTGCATTTATTGCAGAGGAATAAGCACCTTTGCAAGTGGGCTTGTTGAGGCCTTTCGGGTTTGTGCTTCCGTATTTTCGGTTCTGACCCTATATAAGTTATACGATCCTCTGCTACAGGCTCGCGTACCAGTCCTGCTCCCCGCATTTCCTGTTGTAGGCAACCTGACCTTAAGAACCCAAGCAAATTTTGTTGTAGGCATAATGCGCCTCATGAGATTTTAAAGGAACCTGCAGAGATGCAGGTTTGGGTTTCTCAAGGTAACCTGAAACCTGAAGCCCAGTCTTGCACCCCGAACCCTCAGGGTCCATGTACCTAAATGGGGAATACTTGGGCCTCAAAAGGACCTCTTATGTAGGGACTTTTGGGCCCAAGTACAGGATAATGTGGCACATGGACCCTTAGCCCTAAACCCTAAACCCTAAACCCTAAACCCTAAACCCTAAACCCTAAACCCTAGAAGCCAGGATACAGAAGTGAAGCTGCCTCCTCCTGAACCAGCCTACATCTTGCGAGTCCCGCTCCCAGCCCCTTGGCGATGCTCAGTGACAAGTGCAGGGTTTAGGGTTTAGGGTTTAGGGTTTAGGGTTTAGGGTTTAGGGCTTAGGGCTTAGGGCTTAGGGTTTAGGGTTTAGGGTTTAGGGTTTAGGGTTTCGGGAATAGGGTTTAGGGTTTAGGGTTTAGGGTCTAGGGTCTATTCTGTTCATGCCCTAAGCTGTGTTCCAAGGATTTGACTTAGGCTGCTTTTGCCTAAAGAGCCCAATGGGCTGGAGGCTTCAGGTTTCGGGCTTTATGGATTGCAGGCCCAACGCTAAAAGCCTTCCAAAATGGCCCTCAAGCCTAAACAACCCTAAACCCTAAACCCTAAAGCCTATAAACCCTAAACCCCTAGAATACAGTAACCTGAAGGACTCCAGCGTCCTCCGCTCCTTCCGCGGAGACCTTGAGGCAGCTTTACAGTCGGCCGTGCTCGCCCAGGCGCGCCGGTTTCTGCCTTGAGGGTTTAGGGTTTCGGCTTCAGGGGTTTAGGGTTTCGGGTTTAGGGTTTAGGGTTTAGGGTTTAGGGTTTAGGGTTTGGGGCTTAGGGTTCGGCTTTAGGGGTTTAGGGGTTTGGGTGTTTCGTGTTTAGGGTTTAGGCTTTAAAAGTTTGGGTGCTTTGGGGGGTGTCGGGTTCAAGGTGTAGGCTTCAGGGCTTTTGGTGTTTGTAGGGTTTAGGATTTAGGTTTAGGATTTAGGGTTTAGGGTTTAGGGTTTAGGGTTTAGGGTTTAGGGTTTCGGGTCTACAAAATGACGACGTCCGAAGCTAGGCGAAGCGCCCTGCCAGCGCATCAGCGGGTCCAGTTCCTCACAGGTTGAGGGTTTAGACTGCAGGGTTTAGGGTTTAGGGTTTAGGGTTTTTGGGTTTAGGGTTTAGGATTTAGGATTTAGGATTTAAGCGGGTTTAGGCTTTAGGGTTTAGGGTTTTGGGCTTAGGGTTTAGGGCTCAGGGCCTCGGGGCCTGACTTGACATCAGCCCCCCATGTCTACAGGTAGATTTCACATGAACCGACTTTTTGAGGAAGAAGGGGGACCTTTCGTAGATCAACCCGAACCTTTAGGGTTCAGGGTTTAGGGTTTAGGGTTTAGGCTTAGGGTTTAGGGACCCTAAGCTCTAAGCAACATAGGTAAGTCACCAGATGTTCTTGCTTTCCTCGACCAACACAATGGTCACCCCATGCGCAAAAACCTGATAATCCCTAAACCCGAAGCCCTAATCCCTAAACCCTAATCCCTAAGCCCTATAAGCCCTAAACCTTTGAGCGTCGCAAACCTTAGAGCAAGGCAGCGCCAGAATTGTAGGGAAGGATCTCAAGCATTGCGAGCACTGCAAGGAGCTACCAAAGGAGAGAGCTCGAGATCCTAAACCCTAAGCCCTAAACCCTAAACCCTAAACCCTAAACCCCTAAACCCTAAACCCTAAACCCTAAACCCTAAACCCTAAACCCTAAACCCTAAACCCTAAACCCTAAACCCTAAACCCCTAAACCCTAAA